AGAGGAAAACGAAGAAGCAGAAGAAGAAGAAGCATAAGAAGAAGAATACTAATAAGAAGAAGAAGAAGAAGAAGAAGAAGAAGAAGAATAATACGAAGAAGAAGAATAAGAAGACGAAGAAGACGACGAAGAAGAAGACGAATAATAAGAATAATAAGAATAAGAAGAATAATAAGAATAATAATAATAATAATAATATTAAGAAGAAGAAGAATAAGAAGAAGAAAAATAATAAGAAGAAGAAGAATAAGAAGAATAATAAGAATAAGAAGAAGAATAATAAGAATAATATTAAGAAGAAGAAGAACAATAATAATAATAAGACGAAGAATAAGACGAAGAATAATAAGAATAAGAAGAATAATAATAATATGAATAATAATAAGAAGAAGAAGAATAAGAAGAATAAGAATAATAATACGAATAATAAGAAGAAGAAGAATAATAAGAAAAATAAGAATAAGAAGAATAATACGAATAATAATAATAATAAGAAGAAGAAGACGAAGAAGAAGAAGAATAATAAGAATAATAATAATAATAAGAATAAGAAGAATAAGAAGAAGAAGAAGAATAATAAGAAGAGGAGGAGGAGGGGGAGGAGGAGGAGGAGGAGCAAGAGGAGGATAGAAGGGGGAGGAGAGGAGGCGGAGGAGGAGGAGGAGGAGGAGGAGGAGGAGGAGGCGGAGGCGGAGGTGGAGGAGGCGGAGGAGGATCAGGCGGAGGAGGAGGAGGGGGAGGAGGAGGAAGGGGACACGAGCATGGATCAGGGGGTAAGTAAGCGGTGGGAAGGGGATTTAGGGGCTTCCACGCATCGGGTTCTAGTGGTGTCCACGTTCGCAGGCGCTCCAGAGTTCCAGGGATGATGAGATGAGTGGGAAGGAACATGAGGAGAAGGAGGAGCAGGAGGAACATGGTTATGATGGCCATTGCTTACTCGAAGAAGCGCTAGTCACAATATTTTCCAGTGCTTTCTCTCCACATCCTTAAGTGGGGGTTTTGTTTTTTTGGACACCCCGCGCAGGCCCCGTTAGAGGTGGTGCTCGCTCTTCTTCGCTCTGCGGAGGGTGGCCGGCACCGCGCTCTGCGCGAGTTCAGCGGCAGAGGCGCTGCCGCTGCTCCCAGGGCGTGTCCTTCTTAGAGGTCGCCCGAGGCCTGGCTCTTGGAGGTCGGCAGGCGGCGGAGGAGGAGGAGGAGGAGGAGGAGGAGGCGGACCAGGTTGCAGTGGGCCTTGGCTTGGTGCGCCGAAAAATCGTTGGGCATGAGCGCCGCCCAGAAAGGACCCCACGTGTGGGCCCTGGGGCTGGGGGCTCCGGTCCCTGCGCCTGGGCCCGCCCACGGGGTCGGCACCGTGCCTTTATAGTCGATGTGCACATCCGACGGCGGGATGGCCACCTGGCAGACCATGCTCACAGCAAAATCTTCGGCATCACTCGACGACTGGAAACGGGGCCTGATCTCGCGGAAGAGGAGGAGGAGGAGGAGGGGGAGGAGGAAGAGGATGAGAAGGAGGAGGAGGATGAGGATTCGGAGGAGGAGGATTCGGAGGAGGAGGATCAGGGGGGGAGGAGGAAGCGTATAGGAGGAGGACGTCGACCAGGAGGAGGATGATGCTGATGATGATGAGGATGCTGTTGCTGATGATGATGATGCTGCAGCTGCTGATGATACTGATGATGATGACGATGCTGATGATGATGAGGATGATGATGATCATCATCATGGCGCTGATGCTCATGCTGGTGCTTCTGATGCTGATGCCGTTGACGATTACAATGCTGATGCTGATGATGGTTCTGCTGCTGCTGCTGCTGATGATGATGATGATGACGTAATGGTCATGCTGCTGATGATGCTGGCGAAGATAATGATGTTGATGCTGCTGCTGATGATCATGCTGCTGCTGATGCTGATGATGATGGTGATTCTGATGACGATACTGCTGAAGATGATGATGATGATGATGATGATGATGATGATGATGATGCTGATGATGCTGATGATGATGATGATGATGCTGATGATGATGATGATGCTTGTGTTGATGGTGATGATGATGGTGACGTTGATGGTGGTGATGGCGATGATGCTGCTGCTGCTGATGATGCTGCAGATGATGATCATGAGGATGCTGCTGCTGATGATGATGCTGATGGTGATGACGATGTTGAGTATAATGACGATGCTGATGATGCTGATGATGATGATGATGATGCTGACACTGATGGTGATGACGATGGCGATGATGCCAATGATGCTGATGATGCTGATGATAATGATGGTGATGGTGGATGTCATGATGATGACCATGCTGACGAGGAGGGGGGTGATGCTGATGATGCTGATGCTGATGATGATGATTCGTATGATGATGCTGATGCTGATGCTGCTGATGATGATACTGCTGGTGCTGATGACGATCACGATGACGATGAGTGGGTTGCTGATGCTGATGATGCTGCTGATGATGACGATGCTGCCGATGATGCTGCTGATGATGATGCTGGTGGAAATCACGATGCTGACGATGCTGATGAGGAGGGGAGTGATGATGAGGATGATTAGTATGATGACGATGATGCTGCTGCTGATGATGATGATGACGATGCTGATGATGACGATGATGCTGCTGCTGATGATGCTGATGGTGATGGCGATGATGATGCTGATGATGACGATGATGCTGCTCACCATGCTGATGAGTAGGTTGCTGATGTTGATGGTGCTGATGGTGATGCTGAGGATCCTGGTGATGACGATGCTGGCGATGGTGGTGATGGTGGTGGTGATGATGATGATGAGGAGGTAGAGGATGATGCTGATGATGATGATGATGCTGATGAGGGTGATGATGCTGATGATGATGCTCATGCTAATGCTCATCATGCTGCTGCTGCTGATCGTGACGATGATGCTGCTGCTGATGCTGATGCTACTGCCAATGATGAAGCTGATGCTCATGTTGATGATGCTTCGGATGATGCTAATGATGATACTCATGATGCTGATGCTTCTGATGACGATGATGCTGCTGCTGATGATAGTGATGATACTCATGATGATGATGATGGTGGTGGTGATTTTGGTGGTGATCACGATGATGCTGATGACGATGATGCTGCTGATGATGATGGCAATCTGATGCTGATGATGACTATGATGATGCTGATGATGACTGTGACGCTGATATTGATGATGATGACGAGGACGATGATGCTGATGATGATGATGCTGATGATGATGGTGCTGCTGATGATGCTGCTGCTAATGATGATGATGATGATGATGATGATGATGACGATGATGATGATGATGATGATGATGATGATGATGATGATGATGATGATGATGATGATGATGATGATGATGATAATGATGATGATGATGATGATGATGATGATGTTGTTGCTGCAGCTGCAGCTGCTGCAGCTGCTACTGATGACAATGAGGAGGATGAAGAAGATGAAGAGGAGAAGGACGAAAAATAGCAGGACAATGACGGCGAGGAGGCGCAGGACAATGACGAACACGACGAGGAGAAGGAAGAGGAGAAGGACGAGGAGGAGGAGGACGACGAGGAGGTTGACCAGTTCGTGGGCAGCTCACTCCTCTTCTGTGGAAGGCGCTGGGGAATGCTTTTGGCTGCGCGTCTGCCAGTGTTCACTCTGCCCCTGCGGGCAGCCAAGGCATGCAGCCCGGGCGCCCCCCTCACTCCTATTCGCAAGTGCGGGGTGTATGGTGTGTATTTATACACAAATATCTTATTCATATCCGTATCCGATATACATCAATATTTATGGTGCTATTACTTATATTTCTATGCATATCGAATTTCAATGTGTATGTATAGTTGTACAGTAGTGTGTCTCTCTATATACATCTATAGATAGTTGTGTCTTTCATTGTCGTGTGTATTTGTATTTCTATACTTCTGAATTTCCATATGTATACACGTATGTATGGGTGTGTTGCCTTATCGGCCAGCCGCTGGGGGCAACAGTTCTGTCTACGCGACCACCCAGGGTGGCCAATTAGTTTGGAGCGTGTTTTGCCGATGCTGTCCCGTCGACTGGAGTCATTGTCGTGTCGGCGTAAGAAGTGCTTGCGTGTGTGTGTGTGTGTGTGTGTGTGCGTGTGCGTGTGCGTGTGCGTGTGTGTGTGTGTGTGTGTGTGGCTGCGTGGTTTCGAGAGCTCTGCTACGCGTGCGCATCATTCGCACACGCCTGCACAGGCGGCCGCCGATTCTCGGGCTCCTTTGCTCTGTACCGTTGTCTGTGCTCGTTTTTGGTTGTCGGCGCGGCCTCTTTCGGGCTCGTCTCTCCTCTTTTCCCTCCCCTCTACTTCCTGGCTTCGCCGGTCCCTGGGTTTACACGTGCTTGTATATGTACACAAGTGCACAAGTGTGCATGTGTGTATATGCGGATATGTATGTGCACATTCACATATACATATACGTATATGTATAAACCTAGTTCGGTATATGTTACACTCATGAACGAATTCCATGAGGTAAGGAGGAATAGGAAGACCCCTCCTGGCAGGGCGACGAGGAGTTCGACGAGACCCGCACCCTGTGGAAGTCGCTCCTGCCACCGGAAGAGATGAAGACGGAGCGCGCGGGGCGCGGGGCGGGGGGGGGCCTCCCCTCTCTGCAGGGACTGGCCGCGTGCCCGCGGCTCTGCCGGGGGGGAGCACCGCTGGTGCAGCGCCAGGCCGAGCCCGTTGTGGCTCCCTCTCCGCTCGTTTGCCTTGCCTGCCTCTTGCATTCCAGTCTCGCTCTTTCTCTCTCTCTCTCTCTGGCTCGTCGGTGTCTTCGCCCGAGGAGGAGGAGGAGGAGGAGGAAGAGGAGGAGGAGGAGGAGGAGGAGGAGGAGGAGGAGGAGGAGGAGGAGGAGGAGGAGGAGGAGGAGGTTTTTTGCTGCAAGAACGATGCCTGGCGGTCCCCGCCCCAGCTCGCCACATGAGAGTAGGATAGGCGGGCACTCCGCCTCGGGGTGCCATCCCGCCTCCGTCCTGATTCAGTCCATGAGGCACTCCCAGAAAGCGGCGCGCTCCTCCTGTACCAGGGAGCGCGGTACCGCCTCCAGGGAGACCTTCACTGCGTAAGGATTTCTGCCTCGGCGCAGGAGCGAGAGGCGGTACCCTGCGGTGGGGTTCGCTGGAGCCCCTCCGCAGGCACCAAGGAGCTTGCACCCCCTCTCGCTCGAGAAAACACCGCACCGATCGCAGAAGGTGTACTGGCCCACGCGGTGCAGCTCGTGTCCAAGAGCCGCACCGCGAATGGCGGGAGAGATGTCTCCTTCCCCGTCCCCCCGCCCCAGCTCGACGGAGGAGGAGGAGGAGGAGGAGGAGGAGGAGGAGGAGGAGGAGGAGGAGGAGGAGGAGGAGGAGGAGGAGGAGGAGGAGGAGGAGGAGGAGGAGGGAGGAGGGAGGAGGAGGAGGAGTGGGAGGAGGAGGACGAGCACGGGGACGAAGAGGAGTAGCAGGAGGAGGGTAAGGAGGAGGAGGAGGAGAGGGAGGAGGTGGAGGAGGAGGAGAAGGAGCAAGAGGCCGAGGAGGAGGCGGAGGAGGAGGAGAAGCACTGACCAGGCAGGTCTACGACCAGGCGTGCCATTAGACTCTTCTCGGGCAGCCCCCGCGGCGCCCCTCCCGCGCGGGGTGCGCCCCCTTCTCGAGCCGACACGTCCGTCAGGCCACCCTTGCAGTAGAGCGGCACTTCGACCCGGCGATTGTTTTTTCTATCCTCTGGCGCCTGAAGGTCGTTACCCGAAGAAGAAAAAACGCCATACACATTAAACTGTTTGCGTTCCGCGCAGATTTCTTGGGATCTGCGCCCGGGCGGCGCCTCCGGCGCCGCCCCTGGCACGCTCCGCGTGCCAGGGAGGGGGTCCAGCGCAGATCCAAGAAATCCGCGCGGAGCGCCCAAAGTTTATGTTGATGGCGTTTTTTCTTCTTCTTGCTATCCCGGCCGAGCCCCACCAGGTAATGGTGCTGATCGTACGCAGGGGAGGCGGGAAGGCCTGGACCCACCATACGTGTTGGTGCTCGCGCGCGTGCTGTGGCGATCGCAGCGCCCCCCCGCCCCGACGTGCCCGCCCCTCCCAAGTGTGACCTTCACCGGGGCCCCCGACCCTCGCCCCCTCCCCCCCCCTGGCTAAAGACCGTTGCAGAGATTTCGTGACGCTTCGCGTATCTTCACCAGCTTGACGCGCCCTCTGGACTTTTCCTTGCGGGCCGCAGATCAAAAAAATATATCTTCACCAGCTTCGGCTTCCCCCCCAGTCGACGGCGCCCTCCCCTGAGCGGCAGCGAGGCCCGCCTCCTGTCTGTTCCTCCCTCCGCTGTCCTCTCGTCGCCTCCGTCTCCCTCCTCCAGTTGCGCAATTTAGTACGTAGCGCGTTAGATACGACTCTTGGACGGCGTCCAGCGTCTCCCGGTGCGCTTGCGATCGAAAAAGTATCTTCACCAGCCCATCCATAAACGATCGCCAAGCGAGTTGTTTATGTCAGGGAAGTGTAGAAGCATGCATGCAGTGGAACAGCCGTATTGGAAACGGGTGGATGGCGCAGAACTGGCGGAGACATTTGCTGAATGATTTAACACATGTCCCATTCAGGGGCGCATCGTTCCCCATCTTACTTCAAACGAGTTGTGGGTGGAAACAAAACAAGGTGTCCGCCTGGGCCCCCGAGCGGAAGTGCGAGCGCTGTGGCGCGCGCGGTCGCGCGCGACCCGCCGCTGGTAATAACGTGAATGCGCGGTCGTCGCGGCGGCGACGACGGCGACGGCGACGACGACGGCGGCGTTTGTGCCGACGGCGACGACGACGGCTGCAACGGCGACGGCGGCGACGACGAACGTCCCGGCGACGGCGGCGACGGGGCCCGGGCCCACGGGCGAACTTGCACCCCGCCCTCATTCTTGGAACTCCGCGCCTGGTTTTATGGGAGGAACGGCATTGTTGCGCGCAGTTTTGCCCCAGCCGTCCTTCCGCTTGACTAAAAATTTCTTTCTCTTTACTACAACGCCCTTTTCTCTGAATGTATTAAGCGGCGCGCCTTTGCTAAAACCGTTTCCCCGCTTTGGTAAAGCCGTTTCCTCGCTTTAGTACATCCGTTTCTTCGCTTCAGTAAAGCCGTTTTTTCGCTTTGGAGAACGCGGTCTGCCTTAGTAGAGCCTTGGGGATGCGATGGTGATGCGGGGCCAAGGCCGCATCCTCACCGCGCATCCTTATTGATACGGGTCGATTGTAGGCTCTCCAGGCGCTGGGCTCGCCTCCTGTCTCGCCTCCGGTCTCGCCTCCGCTCGTGCACCGTCCTGGCCGCGCCCCGAGGACGAGGACTGGGGGGACGCCGGCCTCGGAGGAGGCGCCCGCGCGCCAGGGGGAGCCGCCCCCGGGGCGGGTGCGGCACGGGCGCGCGGCACGGCAGGGGTGAGCGGCAACGATGCGTCGGCCCGCATGGTAGGGATGGGAAGCCTGCCCACGGGTACCCTGGCGCCCTTGCCCTCCTCGGTCCATGCCTCGCCGCTTTCGTTGGCCTGGCCCCGCTCGAAAAGCGTCGAGATGGGCGTCCAAGGCCCTTGCGTCCTTGTCGCGCATCCTTTTGATGCGGGCCGACCGTATCTCTGTTTAACCCAAGAGGGGATCCAGCGAAGTTGAGGTGGTGCAGTAGATGTGGTGCAATGGATTTGTGGGGTTGCAGTAGATTCGGGGTGTGCAAGACACTCCAGTGCGCAAATGTACTGCTGGGTTTTCGCGTGCGATGTATTCGATGCAAAGCAGTGCAGTACGATTCCTTGGCGCAATACATTTGCAATACACTTGCCCCACATCTATTGCACCACCCGCTTTCAGCTGGACCCCCATTTGGGTCACGAGGACTATCGGGGGCCTGTCGCCGATCTGTCGGCGATGTATCGCTGCTTCCATGCCGATGTTTCTTTCCCCCCACGCCCTCGGGGGCGCGATGAGCGCGCGGCACGTCCTGGGGGGAGCGGCTCGTCCTCCTCCGCCTTTTAGGGGAGGAGGGAAAGCTACGGCACCCACACCGCTGCCCTTTCCCCTCGTCTCCCCATGCTTTGGCCTCCTGGGGGGCCCTCGTCCCCACCGCTGGATTCGCCCCGAAATCCTGGGCGGAGCGCACCCTTGGAGAGGTCTGGGGAGTATCGGTGCTGGTACCTTTCGGTTTCCCCATCCCAGGGGATCCTTGAGACGTGGGTCAATGCAAACGGGGGCCAGCCAGAGCAATCTTGCCTGGTCCTGCAGAGCCAGAGGTGCACTGACCCGGGCTAGCGTGCAGGATCCTGCAGCTTCTTGCAGGGCCGTGCGCGATCTTGCAAAGCCGGACTGACCCACGTTTGCATTGACCAGGGTTAGGGGGACAAAAAGTGACACAAACATAAAAACTCGGAGGCCCGCGCGGATTTCTCGGATCGGCGCTGGACCCCCCCTCCCTGGCGCGCGGAGCGCGCCAGTGGCGGCGCCGGAGGCGCCGCCGGGGGGCCCCAGCGCCTAAGGTCGGGCGACGAAATCTATACATATCCACTGCTCCCTGACCATGCCCATCTTGAACCCAGGAGCTGTGTATGCGCCCTCCTGGCCAAGCCAGGGGGGCGTGGCGTATACACCGCTGCGGGGTTGAGGATGGGCCTGGCCAGGGAGCAGTGGATATGTATAGATTTCGTCGCCCTATAAGGGTTCCCCTGGGTCAGAGTGCGTCCCCGAGGAGCGGTCTGTCCTCCTCCTTCTCTCAGGGGGAGAGCTGCCAGACGCGCTCGCGTCGGGACACGCCTCGCGGCACGAGGTTTTTGGGCCGCCTGCGGCCGCCGAGGGCCCTCGCCGGTTCTCCGCCAAATTCGGGGTTGGACAGACCTCCTACCACGACACGTCGATTAAAGAATTGGCCGTTTTCGGTTCGCGAGAGGGCTCCGCAGCCGTCCTTCTTGCGGGTCCAGGTCCGTCGGTTTCGGTCCCGGGCCTGTTTCACCAAGGGGAGGTGTACTAAAAGGGAGGCTTGCCCATCGCCGACAGATGGCTCGGGAGGAGCAGCCGACCTCTGGGACACGGTCGGGACTTCTGGGGGTCGCGAATCATGAAAGCAGGACGTCGCATGTCTGGGGAAAGGCACACCGCGATGCCGCCGTGCTCCTCGGTGACCCTCGCTGCCATCGCGGGAGTCGCTCGAAGTTCTGGTCGGAGCTCCGCGGAGGGGCTGTCTCGGCGCCAGGTTGATCCTCGAGCTTGTTGTCTGGAGTCGGGCCTGTCCCTCTACAGGGGGGATGCTCAGAAATAGTCAAAACATAGTCAGCGGATCTTTTCTTGAGCATTTGTTTGACCATCTGGGAGTTTTTTTGTTTGCTATATCTATCTATCTATCTATCTATCTATCTATCTATATATATATATATATATATATATATATATATATATGCCCAAAATCCCCCTGTAGGGGGACACGCCCGACTTGAGCTTCGTCTCCCAGCGCCTGGGCCTGGGCCTGGGCCAACTCCCTGCGCCCGCTGCTCTGCGGCAGTCCACACGGGGCCTCCTCGCCCGCGCTTTGGGTGCGGCCTGGCCCAGGGGAGGGGATCGACGGGGAGTGTGATCTTGGAGCATGGCCTGGGCGTTTTTTTGTTGTTGCTGTTTTTTTAAAGTTTTGTTTCAGTTGTTTTGTTCTTTGTTTTTTTGTGTTTTTATTGTCGTTTTTTTATTTGTTTTTTTTTTGGTTCCCCCCCCCTCTGGCGGGTAACGCCTTTTGCCTGGCCCCCCCCATCCCCCCCCTTCGGGATGACGCCAGCGATCGTGGGTTTCTTTTGGGGGGGTGGAGGGCGGACCCCCCTCCTCTCGGCGAGGTTCCTGGGCTATGACTTCGGCGAGGTTCCTGGGCTAGGCGAGGTCCATGACTTCGGCGAGGTTCCTGGGCTATCGGCCGGCACCTCCTCTCCGCAGGTGTGGCAATCGACGTGCCGCTGGCGCGGAGACGCGCCCTGGCCGCGGCCGCCGGTCGTGCCGTGGCCCGCCGGCCCAGCCCCCCGGGCCACGGCCGGCGGGCCCAGCAGAAGACAAGAGCAGCAGCCTCTTGGGCGAGGGGTCTCGCCGCCCTTGCTCCTCGGGGGCAGCGACAGGGAGGGATGGGCATTGGGGGGGGGGGAAGGCATCGACCCCCAATCGCGAGGGACAGTCATAAAAAGCAGCCTCTTGGGCGGGGGGTGCCCTTCTGTGGGCCCCGGAAACGTCAGGGCCGTTTTCTCACCGTTTCTCGCCGCCCTTGCCCTTCAGGGGCAACGATAGGGGGGGGGGATAGGCATTGGATTAGGGGGGGGGAATGCGTCGACCCCCGATCGCCCATGGATCGCCCCTGGGGGCCTGATTGCCCCAACCCGCCCTGGAAGGTGCGGATTCACCATCGGAGGCCTATCGCCGATCTATCGGCGATGCATCTCGCCGATTCCAGGTCGACCCACCCCCCCAACTGCCAGTCCCCCCCCCTATCGTTGCCCCTCGCCCCTTCTCAGGAGCGACAAAAGGACGTACACGTACATGAATCCACGCTGGTTTCGAGAGTACGCATTGCGCAAATGTTCGTATGACGCGGCCGGTCTCGCGGATCGAGGGGCCGTGTTCATGTACATAGCTGGGCGCGTACGTCCTTTGTGGGCTCCCTACCTTCAGCCAACCCGCACAGGAAGGGCGAGCGCAGCTCTCCAGCGAGCATCGTGTTCCCCCCTCGGCTCGCCTCTCCGGCCTCCGTCGCTGGCCGCTGGCCCCGCTCCACGGGCGTCTCGGCACGGCCTTGCGAGGTGCTCGCGGCCTCCTCCTCCCCCTCCTCCCCCTCCTCCCCCCCCCCCCCCCTCCTCCCCCCTCCTCCTCTCCTCCTCCCTCCTCCTCCTCCTCCTCCTCCTCCTCCTCCTCCTCCTCCTCCTGGCCTCGCCTCCTCGTCACACGGGTCGACCGGGCCCCTCCTTTCCCCGGTGCTTTCGCTGGCCGCGCCCCGCTCGGCGGGCGTCGACACGGCCTTCCGAGGTGCCTGCGGCCTCGCCTCGCCTCCTCGTCACACGGGTCGACGGGGCCCTCCTTTCTCGGGCCGGGCGAAAGGGGGGGATTGGGAAAGGGGGGGTTACGAAATCTGCTGCATGCAGCTGGTTTCGGCCTCACTGAGGGGCCCATTCCTCGATACATGGCCGCCTCCGGCGCCGGGAGGCGCCGGGAAAATCAGCTACGTGAGCTGATTCTCAAACCCCCCCTTTGCTATCCCCCCCTTTCGCCCGACCCGACTTTCCCCAGTGCTTTCGCTGGCCGCGCCCCGCTCGGCGGGCGTCCACACGGCCTTCCGAGGTGCCTGCGGCCTCACCTCGCATCCTCGTCACACGGGTCGACGGGGCCCTCCTTTCCCCAGTGCCCTTCCTTGTTGGCGGGGCTCGACGGAGTCTCCCGCGGAACCGAGATGGCCCGCGCCAGTCGGTTCGTAGGTTCAAGTCGGGCATGTCCCTCTACAGGACGAGCATTCGAGAACAATAATAATGTCGGGTGACGATTTCTCGTGCTCTTTTGACTACGTTTGAGCATTTTCTGAATATGTTTGATTTCTCTTCTAAAACCCGCCTGTAGGAGGACATGCCCGACCTAATCGTAGGTCGACCCAAATCACGAGCGCCTCCTGTCCTGTGCTTCGCATCCTCGTGCCTTCGGCAGGGCCCTCCTGTGCCCTCCTGTGCCCTCTCCAGTCGAGCGCGACCCTAGATTTCCTCGGGTCTCCCTGGACCTCACGGTCCCTCCCGTTCTAGTGGCCAGACGAAGGGTAGGATAGGGATCGGGGCTCCAGAAACGGGGGTCAATGCAAACGGGGGTTAGTCGGAGCGCCGTATCTTGCAGGATCCTGCAGGGCCAGGGTCGCATTGACCCGGGCTTGGATGCAGGATCTTGCACGATCTTGCAGGATCCTGCAAGGCCCGACTGACCGGGGTGTGGATTGACCTGGGTCAGAAGATCCCCGAAGGCAAAGGAGGCGTCACAGAACTTGCGCTCCATGTTTCGGCCCCGCCGCCGGCCCCATTCCTCGACGCATGGGCGCCTCCCGGCGCCAGGAGGCGCCAGGGACACCGGCTCCAGAGCCCGAGCCTCGACCCTGCCCCCCCCCCCTCGCCATCCTGCTCTCCCTCGCCCCCCCCCCCTCGACCCTCTCGGCCCGCTCCTCCGCCGCCCTCCGCCCCGGAGCGCCCGGCAGGGGCGGCGGCGGCCTACGTGGACCCGAATTCCAGCCTCCCGGGCTGGCAGCGGCTCGCCCTGGAGGCGCCCGCGCGGGGGGGGGGGCGCGGCGTGGCGGGAGGGGCGGGCTCGAGGATATCGAGGATGTCGAGGCGCGAGGCGCGAGGCCCGGAGGCTCGAGGCTCGAGGCTCGAGGCCAGAGGCGCGAGGCTCGTCGCGTCAAGGTTCGAGGCTCGAGGATCGAAGAGGTGGTTTTGGAGGGTCCTGGACTCCCCCTCCTCCTCCTCCTCCTCCTCCTCCTCCTCCTCCTCCTCCTCCTCCTCCTCCTCCTCCTCCTCCTCCTCCTCTCCCTCCTGGGCCGGCTCCCAGGGCCAGCGCTGGTCGGGAAGTCTCGGGCGAGACGTCGGGCCCGCCCGACTGGCCTCCCCGGGTGAGATGGGGAGGGGTGATTCATGAGGGAGGGGAAAAGGAATCGAGAAGGAGGAGGAGGAGGAGGAGGAGGAGGAGGAGTAGGAGGAGGAGGAGGAGGAGGAGAAGGAGGAGGAGGAGGAACTGTCGTCGACGAGGGCGACGCTCCCGCAGCGCAGGCGTACTGGAGCGGGGACTACTGGCTCGCCGCCAGCTATGCGGAGGGCCGCCGCCAGCTCCGCCGCCATCCCCGCCTCTTCGCCTCCTCCTCCTCTTCCTCCCTCGCGCATCGTACCCCAGGTCGTGGTGAATTTGCAGAACGTTTCAGCTTCGCTGCACACAGGTCATGGACTGCAGCATTTCGTGCGACAGGGCTGCCGTCGTCACCTCAAGCAGAGGGGTAAAGGACAAGTTGCGGTGATACCTTTGCCCTCCAGCAGGAGAGCCGACGGGCAGCGAGGTCAACTTTGATATTGACGACGCGTCGGGTAGACCCCGACGTGTCGCGAAGCGCACTAAGAAATTCAAGCTCAGAGATGAACGCTTTCATAAACCTACTAAGAAGCTGGTTCGGACCTCCTGGAGTTGGGGGCGCTTGAGCACGGGAGTTTGGGGTGTCTGGGGGCGTTGCCTGGGATCCTGTACGGGGCCGAGGTTCACGGTATCTTTCGGATGTAGCAGTCTTTCGGCTTTCAGGTTTGCCCACGTCAGGAGGGAGGTTCGCGAAGTATTGCGTCCTGGGCCCTCGGGTAGGTCCCTCGCCCCCACCCTCGTCCTCAGCGACGGCTTCACGGGTCGGAGCCGTGGCCTCGAGGTCCTCCTCCTCCTCCTCCTCCTCCTCCTCCTCCTCCGCCTCCTCCCTCTCCTACCTCTCCTGCCTGTGGCAGTGTTGGTGGAAAGTGGGCCCATCGTGGATGGGGCAGCGCCGCCTTCGCCCGTGCTCTCCGCTCCCCCCCCCCGCCCCGCCCGAGCTGCCGTCGCGCCACAAGGCCGGGGGCGGCGCTCGCCCAGACTGGCACCCGCACGCCCGCGGGGCGGGGCGCGGCGCCCGCCCCCCGCGGCTTACGAGAGGTGCCTCGAGATCGTCGTGGAGGAGATGGGCGAGGAGCGGGCAGAGCAAGCAGACGCACGCTCGCAAGCCTCTGGAGGCGATCGTTTCCTCATTCGCTGTTTTGCCGATGGGCGTGGGCCCTCGCACCCGCCACCTCACCCGCCCCCATGGAGTAGGTCTTGGCTGTTTTTCGGCGCCTGTTTCGAGCAGGTGGGGTCTCCCCCATCGAACGCACTGTTGTTGTAAGCAGTCACACTAAGCAGAGGTCTGGAGCCATACACCTCCCTTCCGCCCAATGTCGAAACGCCGAATAAAAAAGTTCACCTGGAGCTCCGCGCAGATTTCGTGGTTCGGCGCTGCCTCCCTCTGTCGGCGCCTCCGGCGCCGCCTGTGGCGCGGGGACCGTGCGCCCGGAGGGGGCCCAGCGCCGAGCCAAGAAGCCCTCACGGAGCTCCAGAAGTGCGCAGTTGAAGTCGATGGTAAGTATGGCACGTTTCCCCAAGGCTTCTCATGCCTTGCTCCTCTTCCTCCTCCTCCTCCTCTTCCTCCTCCTTCTCCCTCCCCACCGCCCCCCCCCCCACACCGATGGTTACCCTTGCATCCTTGCCTCTTCGGTCCATCCTTCACCACTTTCGATGCCAACCCCCGCTGGAGAGCCTCTGACGCGTGGGCGCCCGAGGGGCTTCTGCATCCTCACCGCGCATCCTCGCCATCAGTTTTGGCCGCCTGCCGACATGTGGCCTCTGGCGCCTCGACGGAGGGGAAGGAGTCCCCTTCTGAACGTGTCTTGGCTGAGGCATCCGCGATTCGCGGGGCCCCTGTCCTTTCCTGGGGGGGAGGGCGGCGCGAGAGCGCGAAGTTTCTCGCGCTTCGCGCTTGGCGGAGCCCGAGAGCGCGAAGTTAGTTTTGAGTCGGGCATGTCCCTCTACAGGAGGAGTATACAAAAGTAGGCAAAAAACAGCCAGGGGACGTTTTGTTGTTGTTGTTGTTGTTGTTGTTGTTGTTGTTGTTGTTGTTGTTGTTGTTGTTGTTGTTGTTGTTATAGTTATAGTTGTTGTTGTTGTTGTTGTTGTTGTTGTTGAACATTATTACTTCTAAAGAAATATTATTGTTGAGACCCCTGGTGCGCGACCCCCCTCCAAAACCTAGGCCGCAGCCTCATTTCCTTCATTTTCTAGCGAAAGCTTCAGAAAAGTGGATTGTGTCCGGATCCGGTTGTTTTGTTGTAATCCGTTTTCCCTTGCAAAAAACACTATAAAATGAAAATTCTTGTTCTTACTTGATCAAATTGCAAGAATCCCTTGCAAAAAATAAGGTAAAGTGGACATTCGTGCGCGCAAGACGAAATCCTTCCAAAACCTTAGGTTTCGTAGCGATTTTAACATAAAAACATCAAAAACCCAATGGTTTTTTAAGAAAAAATTGTCAAAATGTCCTTCCGCGCGCGCTGTCCGAATCCCACAAAACCAATGGTTTTTCAACATTTATGTTACATGAGCTCGCGCGAGCTACTTTTTCTTGTTCTAACATAATCAAATTTCAATAATCCCTTGCAAAAAATAAGGTAAAGTGGACATTCGCGCGCGCAAGACGAAATCCTTCCAGAACCTTAGGTTTCGTAACGATTTCAACATAAAAACATCAAAAACCCAATGGTTTTTCAAAAAAAATGTCAAAATTTCATCCTGTGCGCGCTGTCCGACTCCCACAAAACCAATGGTTTTTCAACATTTATGTTACATGAGCTCGCGCGAGCTACTTTGTCTTGTTCTAACATAATCAAATTTCAATAATCCCTTGCAAAAAAAATGTAAAGTGGACATTCGCGCGCGCAAGACCATCAAAAAACACGACGATCTCAGGAACTTGCCCCAAAAATGTGACCAACTCCGCTCTCTCTGTCTCTCTCTCTGTCTGCTCTCTGTCTCTCTCTCTGTCTGTCTGTGTCATGTATTGTATGTCACAATTGCAGGATGCTGGGCACACGCGCGCCCCGAATAAGTGACCAAGTTCTGTGGGTGTGTACCCCACGCCAGTGTAGTAGCCACGGTCGTCCGCACGCCACGAAGTGAAGTGTCCCAACGTCATAGGGCGGGAAGCTGGGTTTGGGTGGTCGCGAAGAGTCGTTTGGATATTTGGTAGAGCTTGAACTGCCCCCCCACGAAGTGGGGGTATTGTCTCGCGTCGCATGAAAACCCTGGCACTGGTGAGAACACTGAGCGTTCGGGTAAAATGATTGTTGTTGTTGTTGTTGTTGTTGTGTTGTTGTTGTTGTTGTTGTTGTTGAACATTATTTATTCTAAAGAATAATTATTGTTGGGCCCCCTGGTGCGCGCCCCCCCTGCGCGCCTAGGCCGCAGCTACATTTTCATCATTTTCGTGAGGAAGCCTCAGGTAAAACGATGTGATCAAGATCCGGTTGTTTTGTTGTAATCCGTTTTCCCTTGCAAAAAACACTATAAAATGACATTTCTTGTTCTAATATAATCAAATTTCAAGAATCCCTTGCAAAAAATAAGGTAAAGTGGACATTCGCGCGCGCAAGACGAAATCCTTCCAAAAGCTTAGTGTTCGGAGCGATTTTAACATAAAAACATCAAAAAACCAATGGTTTTTCAACAAAAAAACGTCAAAATCTCATCCCGCGCGCTCTTGCGGATTCGTAGGAAAACCAACACTTTTTAAACATTTCTGTCAAACGGGCTTTTGCGAGCAACTTTTTCGAACTTCTGCGACAACGGTTGCGCACCTGCCAGGGCCATCATCCCTGTCAAATAATACCATGCGGGACACATTCGTTTTTTCTTCGCGCGCGCACGCCGAAATCTCCAAAAACCATTGGGTTCTTAAGAATTTTAGCACCGCGCATGATAAAATCACACGAATCGCACCGTAGGTCCTCGAAAAACACCTGCACGACTTTTCAAAATTTCGTATACTAAGCTAGTTTCCACAAGATGTTACCACAAGAAGTCATTGTAACCATGCGCCAGTGTAGTAGCCAAGGTCGTCCGCAGGCCACGAAGTGAAGTGTCCGAACGTCATAGGGCGGGAAGCTGGGTGTGGGTGGTGGCGAAGAGTCGTTTGGAAATTTGGTAGAGCTTGAACCGGCCCCCCCACAAAGTGGGGGTATTGCCCGCCTCCTATGAAAACCCTGGCACTGGTGAGAACGGAGTGTCCCCAGTCTTAAATGATTGTTGTTGTTGTTGTTGTTGTTGTTGTTGTTGTTGTTGTTGCTGCTGTTGTTGTTGTTGTTGTTGTGTGTGTGTGTGTGTCTGTGTATGTCTGTGTGTTTCTGAGCATCTCTCTCTATTTATAGATGTGTGTATATATATATATATATATATAGATATACATCTATTAGATAAATAAATTCCGCCCCCCCCCGGCTCACACACCTCCCGAAACATCTCGGGAACGCTCCCAGTAGTTACCGCTCCCCCAGCCTCTCCGGGGAGCCTCCACTCAAGGAGGGCCCAAGACGCCGCCCAGGAGCCCCCAGAATTCGAAAGGATGGCCCAAGACGCTCCCAAGCAGCCCAAGTCAGCCTTCCGACGGCTCTCGAGGCTCCCAGGTGGCCTCCAAGAGACCCCAAGAGAGGTCCGAGAGGCGTCCCGGGACGGCCCGAAGAGGCCAACATCGTAGATGTTCATTGCTTTTTTTGGCTGCTCGCGTTTGCGAGCTTCCAACGCTCCAAGAACGCCGAAGAGCTGCCCAAGACAACCCCAAGACCAACCAAGAGACCCTCAGGACGGCCCCAAGACGGGCCAAGAAGGCTCCAAGACTGCCGAAAAGGCGCCCAGGACAGCCCCAGACCACCCCAGAACAGGCCCAAGATGGGCCCAAGAGTGGGAGCAGGAGGCTTCCAGAGACCTCCGAGAGGCCTTTGGGACCCCCCAGAGGCCCCCAACACACACCTGATCCCTGAGAGGCCCCCCAAAAAAACCGACGAGGCTCCAAAAACAGCCCAAGTCAGAGAGCTGCGAGAGCCGTCCCGAGGGAGCCCAAAGAGGGTAAACCCTCGAATATCGAGAATTAAAAGCAACAGATCCAAGACTTTTTTAAAGTGGACCCTAAAGGAAAAGATCAAAGATTTGTTTTTCAAAGAGGACTCCTACTCGGAGATCCCACACATCCCCTGACATCTGGCCGGTACCGCGCCTCCCAGCTTCTCGGGGGACCCCAAGACGCCCAAGGACAGCCCAAGACGACTCCAAGGGGCCCCCAGAACGTAAAGAACGGCCCAACACGCTCCCGCGCAGCCCGAGACACCCTTCCGACGGCTCTCCAGGCCTCCTGCCTCCAGACACCCCAGGGGGTCCGGAAGATCCCACACCCCTGAGGGGCCCGGCTAACAAAACCCGCGAGGCAAACACAAAAACAGCGCCGAACAGCGCCGAGGAACTGGAAAACATGGAAGTCCCACAATTCCTTTTTTGTCTTCCAAGTCTGGCCCCCGGTCCACTCTTGCACAACAGACCACAATTCGAAAGAGCGCGTTCCGTGGTCGCTTGGAAGCGGGGGGGGGTGGAACCGCCCCCTCCCCACTCTCCCTGGATGGAGGGGGGGGTGTTTCGACCCCCCCCCCTCCCGTGACGGAGGGGGGGGGGAGTTCGACCCCCCCCCCTCTTTCCCACTTTTCCTCTCTCCCTCTCCTCGGGCCGGCGCCTGCGTCGGCGGCGGCTGGCGGCGGCGGCGGCGGGTACGACGATTTCCTTTTCTGGGCCGGCGGGCGCCTGCGGCGGCGGGCGGCGGCGGCGGGGAGCGTCGACGACGACGGTGGTGGTGGTGGTGGTGGGTTGTAGTGGTGGTGGTTGTGGCGGTGGTGGTGGTTGTGGTGGTGGTGGTGGTGTGGTGGTTTGTTGTGGTGGTTGTGGTGGTGGGTGGTGGTGGTGGTGGTGGTGGTGGTGGTGGTTTGGTGGTGGTGTGGTGGTGGTGTGTGTTGGGGTTGTGGTGGTGGGTTGTGGTGGTTGGTGGTGGGTTGTGGTGGTGGTTGGGGGTGGTGGTGGTTGTGGTGGTGTGGTGGTGTGGTGGTGGTGGGCGGTGGTGGTGGTGGTGGTATGTGGTGGTGGTGGTCGTGGTGGGTTGTGCTGCTGGTAGTGGTGGTGGTTGTGGCGGAGCTGGTGGTGGTGGTGGTGGTGTGGTAGATTCTGGTGGTGGTGGTGGTAGTGGTGGTGGGTTTCTGTGGTGGTGGTGGTGGTGGTGATGGTGGGTTGTGGTGGTGGTGGTTGTGGTGGTTGTGGTGGCTGTGGTGGTGGTGGCTGTGGTGGTGGTTGTGTGGTGGGTTGTTGGTGGTGGTGGTGGGTTGAGGCGGTGGTGGTGGTGGTAGTCATGGTGGTGGTGGTAGTGGTGGTGATCGTCGCTGCGTCCCCGCCGTCGCCGGCGCCGCCGCCAGCGCTGCTGGCGGCCGCCAGCGCGGGCGCCGGCGCCGGCGCCAAGGGGGGGGTGTGAACCTCCTCCCCCATGGTCTGCTTCTGGTCATCGTCGCTGCGTCCCCAACGTCGGCGCTGCTGGCGGCCGCCAGCGCTGGCGCCAGCGCTGGCGCCGAGAGGGGGGGGGGTTGAAGCCTTCCCCCCTGGGAGGTGGGGCGGGGTTGGGGGGGGGGGGTTCGGCAGGGGGGGGTTTGGGGGGGACGGGAGCCCCCCTGGTTTTGATCGACGGCGCCGAGTGTTGGGGAGGGGGCCTACCCTCCGGTTCGAAACGCGCCGCCGAATTTTCGCAAGGCCGGCGCCCGTGAAACGCGCTCTGTCCACAGTTCAGAGCCCCTTCCCGTCAAAAAAAAAGGAAACTTTTGAGGGCCCCAAATCGTTCGTCTGCGTCTCCGCATTTCCCCGTCTATGCGATTCCGAGGCTTGCGCAGGGGTTCCAAAGGAGTCCCTGGACACAAGAAGCAACCAACATGATATTACATGAGTTAGCCTATCATGCCTAGCTTGAACTTGAGCGCGCGCGAAGCGCGCGCGATGGGTCTAGTGTATATATGTAGACATTCGCTCAAAATCCGCCTGTAGGAGGACATGCCCGACCTGAAGTTAGTTGTTCAAGTCTCTTGCTCATCTCAAGAAGGAGGGGAAGGAGTCGGACGAGTACGCCAGGTGCCTGTCCAACCGCTCTGGCTGCTTCGCAAAGGCGCCGAGGGCTGGGGCTGCGCGACCCGCTCGGGCGGTGCTCGAAGCCCGCCGGGCCGGAGGGCCGGGCGGCCACCTCTGCTCGCGCGCACCTTCGTGCTGGCGCATTCGGAGGCTCGTGGTGGGTCGCCGGACTTCAGCGTCGGAGAGGCCCCAGAGGTCGAAAGCCTTCCGCAAATTTCAGGGCGGAGGTTTCTCTCCTTTTTCGGCCGCTGGAGGCCTTCACTTGGCCTTAGGACCGTCGGGGAATGGGTCGGGACTCCAGGGGGCCGCGCATGGATGAATCAAGACGTTGGATATCTGGGACAATTCAGAGGAGGAAAAAATGCTCGGGTGTAGACATGGCCCCAGGTAAGGGGAGTCGGAGCCGGTTAGTGATAGGGCCCTGGGCCCAAACACTGAACCAAAATCACTGAACCAAGCCTGCCGTTGCTGGCGCTTCTTGGGGTGACGGCAGTTTCGGTCGATGGAAGGGGGTCTCGGGGGCGTCCCCCGAGACTGAAGTTTCAGGGGCCTGGCACGGCTTCTTGAGCCTCAGTCTCGCCAGCGCCAGTTTTCAAAGGAGGGAAGTGTATCGATACCGCTACCCTTCCTCGTTTTTGCCATTTTGGGCCTCCTTGGAGGCCCTCGTCGCCACGGCTGGATTCGCTTCGAAACCCCATGCAGAGCGCACCCCAGGAGAGGTCTGGGGAGTAGCAGTATCGGTATTTATCTTTTTCGGGCTTCTCTTCAATTTCATGTACAAGTCTGCTCGCCCAGAGTCGATTGCTTTTCGCCCAGACTCCGCACGCCCCAGAAGTCCGGAAGGCCGCTCGCGCGCGCAGAAGTCCGTTCCGGGCTGCGCAGTCCATAGCGGGCAGGACACCTCTGCACGACGGGAATCCTCGTTGAGCGTTCGTTCGGTAGCAATCACGGGAGCCTGGTGTGCCCTCTTGATTTCGTCTTCAGCGTCGGTGAGGGTCGATTAGCGTCTGGGAGTCAATAAAATAGTGCCAATTGAGCGTCGGCTAGCGTCGGTTAGCGTCGATTTCGCGTCGATTAGGGCGACTTAGCGTCGACTAGCGTCGATTCGCAAGAGCGGACAAGATGGTATGGGAGGCTCCTATGAGTTGCCACCGAACGTTCGTCCCCCGCGGGCTTCTTGTCCACGGCCCTGGAGCGAGCAAAGCATGCCTCGCGACGACGAGGCTGGTCCCGGGAATGGGGTCGTTTATGTTGCATCTTCCGGGGACCTCGCCTGTTCCCAAAACTGGTGTCTTTTCTTGTGCCCGACGCGGGCGCGATGCGGACTCGACGCGGATTTGGTGTGTACTCGACGCGGATTTGACACGGATTTGACACTCATCCGACTAGGCCGACATGGATTCGACACGAATTCGACGTAGACAGGGCCGCGACGGGACAGACAAGGTCCACGGAGGCTGCAGCAGAAGGTCGGGATCCCCGGTCCACGCCGTGAAGGAGCCCACGGCGTCGGGGGCCAGGGCGTGCACCGGGGCTGCCGGCATCGCGGCAGCAGAGGGGGTCATCCCACCGCCCGCGGTGGGCGGGCTGTGGCCCCCTTCTCGGGCGACGCCAGGTCGCCTCTCGGGCGACGCGAAGTCCACGTACACCTTAGGCGATGCTTAAGAAAACCTAAGTTTTCGGCCAGAGTCTCGATTATTCTTAACGTTTCAATGTAAATCCTAAGATTTGAATGGAAATTTTGTTTTTTTATTCAAGTTCTGAGACTATGAATTTCTTAACCCATGATTTCTAAAGCATTTCGCAGGGTGTAAGCCGCCGCGTAAGGTCGCTATGTCATGTGGGCCAGTGTTCTGGGGCTTGGGGGTGGGGGTGTTTGCGTCTTGTGCTCGTATAAGTCCCCGCGGATGGGCAGCGGGTGAAAGAAGCGCAAAGGGAAGGCGCAGTGGGTAGTCAAAGGCAAGCGTCAAGAGGGTGCCTCGTGTGAGTATTGGTATTGTTTTCTGAGCCCACTGTGCCTGTGCCTGTGTGCCTGTGCGTGTGCCTGTGTGCCTCTGTGCTTGTGTGCCTGTGTGCCTGTGTGTCTGTGTGTAATTATGTGTGTGCCTGTGTGTGTATGCGACTTTTGGGATTCTACCTTCCCATGGTTCTCTGGCTCCTTGGCTACTCGGGTGACCTCGTTGGTACTGCCATCGGGGACATAACTGTCCTTGAGGGCTTCGCCTTCCCACCCAGAGCGTTCACCAGTTCTCTGCATCAAAAGGCGACGTACTGGCGACTCTGTTTGTTTGTGCATGTCTACCTTGCCACCGCTCTAACCCACACAGACGATTGCACCGGCCCGCTGTTTCATGCACATGTGCGTCACGTGCACTTGCTTCTGGCAAAGATGGTGGGCTGGTCCACAGCAGACGAATGATCCCGAGCCCAAGTCAATTGGAACTGATGATAGGGTGCCCTCGCATGATCCAGTGCTTGCCGCCATGTGCACCTTGTACAATGGAAACCCATGCCAAGAAACACCCTGCTTGCCTCCAGGGTGCCCTGGGTTTCTTGGGTTTCGATTGTTTCGTTATGGAAAGCGCGACCAAACATCAATGAACGTCCTGGGGTCTCAGGGTTGGGTTTCTTGTGCAAGGTTTCTTGTTGACCAGCCTCCACTGTAACATCCTATTGTTATTCGACTGAAGCTGGGCCAGACTGTACTGTCACTGGTTCGGGTCGGCGGCCATGAGGGGGGTCGGCCACGAGGAGGGAGGTCTCGGGAGGGTGGAAGGCTTCTAGAAGCACCCCTGCTTTTTAGAAGGCGCGGGCCTCGTCCGTAGACGTAAGGCTGGTGCCTTCTAAGATGCAGCCTGTTTCTAAGAAGCCTTCCCCTCTCCCTCCACCCCCTTGTGCGCGCCGCCAGGAGGAGGAGGAGGAGGAGGAGGAGGAGGAGGAGGAGGAGGAGGAGGAGGAGGAGGAGGCGGAGGCGGAGGCGGAGGCGGAGGAGGAGGCGGAGGAGGAGGAGGAGGAGGCGCAAGAGGAGGAGGAGGAGGAGGAGGAGGAGGAGGAGGAGGAGGAGGAGGAAAGGGAATAAGTATCCCAGTGCGACCCTACCTAGGAGTTGGAGCCCCGAGGAGAGTCATACTAGTAGTAGTAACGGTAAACTTAGCTTAGGAAGTATTGATGTTGCGTTCTGCTGCGCTATGCTATGCTATGCTATGTCATGCTAGGGTATGCTAGGCTGCGCTATGTTATGCTAGACTATGCTATGCTATGCTATGCTGCGCTATGCTATGCTATGATATGCTATGCTGCGCTATGCTATGCTATGATATGATATGCTATGCTGCGCTATGCTATGCCATGCTATGCCATGCTATGCTATGATATGCTATGCTGCGCTATGCTATGCTATGCAATGCTATGTTATGCTATGCTGCGCTGTGCTAAACTAAGCTAAGCTATGCTAGGCTAGGCTAAACTAAGCTAAGCTAAGCTAAGCTAAGCTGAGCTAAGCTAAGCCCAGCTAAACTAAGCTAGGCTAGGCTGAGCTAAGCTAAGCTAGGCTAGGCTAAGCTAAGCAAAGCTAAGTTAAGCTAGGCTAAGCTAAGATGAGATAAGCAACGCTAAGCTAGGGGGTCGTAACTGGGGGAACCGCGGGGCGGATACTGGGGGAACCGCCCGGGGCGCTTTCCACTGCCCGGCCCCTTTAAGCCCAGAGAGTAAGAACCCTTCTAGGCAGAGCCTAGGTAGGGAATAGCTATACGAATAATAACAATACTTAGCAGACGACGAAACATACCGATGAGAAGACGAGTAATAATGATAGTGCGATTCATGGAATAATAATAACAACACGAAGAAGACGCATATTAATTATAAGAGTAATAATCCGCATAATAACAATAACAACATTAATACTAGTATGAGGAGGGGAGGAGGAGGAGGAGGAGGAGGAGGAAGAGGGGGAGGAGGAGGCGGAGGAGGAGGAGGGGGAGGAGGAGGAGGAGGAGGATGAGGAGGAGGCGGAGGAGGAGGAGAAGGAGGAGAAGGAGTAATACTAATACTGTAAACTATAATGACATGGATCATAATAGTACTACCAATAAGAATACTATTAATAAACATAATCAGCATACGATTCCTATTAATGAATCTATTAATAAGAATATTTACTTTTTATTAGTAATACGAAGAAGCATAACGATAGTACTAATACTAATAAAAATAATCATCACACTATGACGAATAAGAAGAGTACGACTCATAATCGTACGATGATGAATCATCCTAAGAAATGGAGGAGGAGCAGGGAAAGATAGGCGGGAGGGGTGGGCCGAGACCCCCGGCGCCGTTCTTTGACTCGACGGCGCGTCTCCCGGAGGTCGCGGGACCGGCTGTCCTCATCCCGAGCGGATGTCGGGCGGATGGTACAGTCGAGGCTGATTAGTAGGTCGACCCAAATCGAGGGTACCCTGGTGCCCTGCGCTTCGCGACCCATGCCTTCTACATTCCTGTGTCAATGTGGTCCTCGGAAGGGTCTTGTGTCCTCTCGCGTGTCCTCTCCAATCAGCCCCGACCGTCGTGGTAATGGGGGGTGACCTGAATTCGGAGATAGCCAGGACCCCAGGTCATGGGAGCTGGTTCGTGATTGGGCCCCGGAGCCCCCTCAAAGTCGCTAGAGCCACTGCACTAGTTCTGCCGCAGATCGTGTCGTGTTTCCTCGTGCGACTGCAGCTCCGGCTAGTGGAATGGCGCGGGGGGGCCTCCCCCAGTAGTCATCACGAAAGCAGGTCCCAGTAAATCCAGTCCCTCCCAACGTATGTGGGGTGACCTAGATGAGGGGTGAAACGGCCCTTTGGGCCGTTTCCTTCACCCCTCAGATATGTCACCCTCTGCGACCACCCGCCGGAGGAAACATGTTCGATGGTCCGAGGGCCCGGCGAGGGCCCCCCGAAGCCGAACATAACAAAAAGCTTACCGTCGTGTGTTGTCTTACAACGCCATGGGATCTGAGGAAGGATCGGCGGCAAGAACGGGGAGGGGAAGTCAGAGAGGGGGGGGGGCATCTCAGATTGCTCCGAAGGCCTCGGGCCCCTGAGAACGTTTTGTTGAAGCCTCCCCCGAGAGCGCAGAGAGAAGGCCAGGAGGCCTGTGAGAAGCCCCGCCGCCTTCTGAGAAGGCCTGCCCCCCCTCGCTCTCCTCCCCGACCGCGCCGCCGCAGGGAGCGAGGCAGGCGTCACAAGGAGCACGTCGGGTGCCTCCCTCCCGCCGCCCACGCGGCCCCCCGCGGCGCGCGCCCAGCTCGGCCAGCACGACATCTCCCGCAAGCTGGCGCTCCAGCTCATCGAGCTGAAGCCCACGTGGTCGCGGGCGTGGAGCCGTCTGGGTCCGCGCCGCCGCCTCCCCCTCGAAGAACGACGACGAGGACGGCGGCGAGGACCCGGGCGATGGTGCCACGAGACGCTGGCGTCTGGGGCAACGACAGGGGTCAGCTGCAAGAAGAAGCAGCGCCAGAGATGTGCACTCATAACGCTCCTCGCGGACTTCTTGGATCGGCGCCCGGGACAACCTGGCGGCGTCTCCGGCGCCGCCCCTGGCGCGCTCTGCGCGCTGGGGAGGGGGGTCTTGCGCAGATCCAAGAAATCCGCGCGGAGCGCCAAAATATTATGTTTATGACGTTTTTTGTTCCTCTAGACAGGGGTCAGCGGCATTTTAACGGGTATTCATTAACGGGTATTTGCCGAAAGCTGATTTTTTAGGGCCTCTTGCTGGCGATTCAGCCTTGCCCACCTCGGGAAGGGTTGGATTCGCCGGGTCACTGGCCAAAGTTCCTGTTAGTGGAGTCCCCGTTAGAGGGGCGCTGTAGGGGGGATAGACACAGGGGGATGCATCGACCCCCAATCGCCCATAGATCGCCGATCGGGGTCTGGTAGCCACACCGCCCAGGAAGGTGCGGATTTCGCCACGGGGGCCTGCCGCCGAGCGACCCGCGACGCATCGCCGATCCCAGGTCGACGCATCCCCCCTATGCCAGTCCCCCCCTATCGTTGTCCCTCGCGCCTCCATTTGCTCGAGCCGCGAGCTCTCGCGCGGCTTCGGGCCCCTGCAGGCCCTCGCAGGGGGATCTGGCCCGAAACCTGGCGCGGGAGGCTCTGGAGCCCAGGGCTCCGGCCGGGACTTTACGCGACGCTGCAGTTTTGTCGTGACCTCGGCTCTCGGGGCAGGGTTAAGTCGGGCCTGTCCCTCCTCAGGAGGGATAATTCCAAAACAGTAGAAACGCAGTCTGGGGACCATTCTTGGACTCTTGTGGAGCATTTTTGGAGTATTTTTTGGTATTTCCATCTTTCGCCCAAAGTTCCCCTGTAGGGGGACACGCCCGACTTAGGGGTAGGGCCCCGGGATGCGCACAGGCAGGATCCCCCGGGGGTAGGTCCAGCGGCCCCGTAGGGAGCTCCGCCGAATGCCCCAGCGGCCGCGTCCGCGTGCGTTTTCCCCGCCCGCCGCGGGCCTATTTCGGTGCACCCCTCGCGCGTTTCGTTGCCCCGTGGGGAGCTCCGCCGAAGGCCCCAGCGGCAGCGCTCGCGCGCGTCCTCCTCGCCCGCCGCGTGCCCGTTTCGGCGCGCCCCTCGCGCGTTCCGTGGCCCCTTAGTGAGTTCCAACGGAGGTCCCGGCGTCCGCGCCTGCGCGCGTCTTCCCCGCCCGACGCGCGCCCGCGTCGGCGCGCCCCTGACGCGCGCCGTGGCCCCGTAGGGAGCTCCGCCGAGGGTCCCAGTGGCCGCGCCCGCGTGCGTCCTTCCCGCCTGCCGCAGGCTCGTTCCGGTGCACCCCTCGCGTGTTTCGTGGCCCCGTGGGAGCTTCGCCGAAGGTTCTGGCGGCCGCGTCCGCGTGCGTTCGCCCCGCCCGCAGCGCCGTCCGCCCCGCCCACAGGGTTTTTTTTTTGGGGGGGGGGGAAGGGGCGGCGCGCCCCTCGCGTGTTTCGTGGCCCCATGAGCGGGCTCCGCCGAAGGCCTCGGTGGCCGCGTCCGCATGCGCCCTCCCCGCCCGCAGCGCGCCTGTTGCGGCGCGCCCCTCGCGCGTTTCGTGGCCCCAAGGGAGCTCCGCCGAAGGCTCCAGGGGCCGCGTCCGCGTGCGCCCTCCCCGCCCGCGGCGTGCCCATGTCGGCGCGCCCCTCGCATGTTTCGTCGTGGCCCCGTAGGGAGCTCCACCGAAGATCCCAGTGGCCGCTTCCGCATGCGTCTTCCCCGCCCACCGCGTGCCCATGTCGGCGCACCCCTGACGCGCTTCGTGGCTTCATAGGGAGCTCCGCCGAAGGTCCCAGTGGCCGCGTTCGCATGCGTCCTTCTGCCCGCCGCAGGCCCATTTCGGCGCGCCCCTCACACGCTTCGTGGCCCCATGGGGAGCTCCACCGAAGGCCCCAGTGACCTCGTCCGCATGCGTCCTCCCCGCCCACCGCGTGCCCATTTCGGCACACCCGCCTCACGTTTCTTGGCCCCATAGGGAGCTCCACCGAAGGCCCCAACGGCGCAGTTCGCATGCGAGTCCCCCGCCCAGTACACCGCCTCGTGGCCCCATAGGGAGCTCCACCGAAGGTCCCAGTGGCGCAGTTCGCAAGCGTTCCCCCCGCCCAGTACAGCGTTTCGTGGCGGTCCAGGTGGCGCAGTTCGCAAGCGTCCCCCCCCCAGTACAGCGCTTCGTGGCCCCAAAGGGAACCCCACCAAAGGTCTCAGTGGCGCAGATGGCATGCGTCTCCCCCGCCCATTACAGCGCGCCGTGGCCCCCGAGGGAACTCCACCGGAGGCGATTTCCACAATTGCGGCAATCACAGCTGCACATTGTTAGCGCCGATTTAGCGTCGATGAGCGTCGATCTAGCGCCATCTAGCGCCGATTTGCGTCGATTCGCAAAAACCTGCAAGGCTCCTATGAGTTGCCACCGAAGGTTCGGAGTTCTGGTCTCGTTGGTTCGCGATGTTGTAATTCGTTTCGCGGCGTCGGGTCCCAGGGGGTGGGCCCAGGATGGGTGACTGGGCCCCCCTTGCCCAGCCAGGAGGGCCTCGACACCGATCCTCTGCCAGCCTGGAACGTATCCCGGCCCCCAAGGTTGGTACCTCCTCCTCTTGGTGCCGATCTTGAGGATTCCTCCCAGCTTCTGAGGCCACATCCCGAAGATTGCCATCGCCCTGGGCGTACCCCGGTCCCCAAGGTTGGTACCTCCTCCTCTTGGTGCCGATCTCGAGGATTCCTCCCAGCTTCTGAGGCCACGTCCCGAAGACTGCCATCGCCCTGGGCGTACCCCGGTCCCTAAGGTTGGTACCTCCTCCTCTTGGTGCCGATCTCGAGGATTCCTCCCAGCTTCTGAGGCCACATCCCGAAGACTGCCATCGCCCTGGGCGTACCCCGGCCCCCAAGGTTGGTACCTCCTCCTCTTGGTGCCGATCTCGTCGTCCTCCTCCTCCTCCTCCTCCTCGTCCTCCTCCTCCTCCTCCTCCTCCTCCTCCTCCTCCTCCTCGTTCTCCTCCTCCTCCTCCTCCTCCTCCTCCTCCTCCTCGAGGATTCCTCCCAGCTTCTGAGGCCACAGCCCGAAGACTGTCGTCGCCCTGGGCTGGCCGACCCCGGTGGACAGGCCCATGCCCGCTGGAGCCCGGGTCGCTCCCGGACCCCGGCGGGGCCCGCCCAGGCTTGTGGCCTGCTGGCGCCGCCCGGGCTTGTGGCCTGCAGTTGCTCCTCCTCCTCCTTCTTCCTCCTGCTCCTGCTCCTTCTGCTCCTCCTCCTCCTCCTCCTCCTCCTCCTCCTCCTCCTCCTCCTCCTCCTCCTCCTCCCGCTCCTCCTCCTCCTCCTCCTCCTCCTCCTCCTCCTCCTCCTCCTCCTCCTGCAGTTGCGCCGTCCCTGCGCCCTGCCGGTGGAGCGCCCCGCCGGTGGAGCCCCCCCCCGCGTGCGGCCGCGCCGCCCCTCCCGGGGGGAGGGGCGGCGGGGCGGCGGGCCTGCCCAGGTCAGGCCTGCCAGCAGCTCGGCGAGGAGCACGAGGAGGAGGCGCTGTCGGCGCTCTCGAAGGCCAGCGAGCTGGACCCCTGCGACGGCGCGCCCCGCGCCGCGCCGCCGCGCGGGCGCGCCCCCTCGGGCCGGGGGGGAGGGGGGTGCTCCAGGGCACGCGCGCGGCCCGAGGCCCAAAGGAGGGCGCCCGCACGGCCAGGCTGCAGTGGAGGCCCGTGCAAGGAGGCGCCCTGCTTGCCTCCGGGGTGCCCTGGGCTCCGTGGGCCTCGAGGTTTTTTGCCATGGGGGGCGTGGCGTTCCCGCACCCCAAAATCAGGGGACATCCCGGGGTCTCGGGGTTGGGTTGGGTGTGGGAGGTTCCTTGTGGTCGAGCCCTCACTGTGCGTGTGCCCCACGTGCCGCCCGCCCGAGGCGAAAACAGAAACGCCTGTTGCGTCGGTGCTGGGCACCATCCGTCCCGCACTCACTTCGGGCGCGCCAGGTGCCGTCATGGCGCGGCGGCAGCGCGCGCGCGGGCTTCCAGGCCCGAGGCCCCCCCCAAGCGGTCTTTGGGAACCCTGGACGGCGGGGGTCGTTCGTGATGGAGGGGCTCCGCGCGGTGGGGGCTGCAGGGGCCCCCGCGCTGCCGTGGCAGGGGCTTCGGACTTCGCAAGCCAGGCCCGGGTGGAGGGTTTCTCTGAAGGGCTTAGGCGACCCGCCCTCCTCCTCCTCCTCCTCCTCCTCCTCCTCCTCCTCCTCCTCCTCCTCCTCCTCCCCCAGCGGTCCGTGGAGGCCATCTGCGCGACGGAAGAAACCGGAGTCGACTGCGCCGACGGTGGCGCATAAGCTGTCCGCGTAAGACCCCGCGCAAGGCGCAATCGTTCTCCACGCGGTGTGCCGCGCTGGCGGCCCGCGTAGGCCAGCGTGAGGTCGCTACGTCGTCGTGCGTATGGCTGACCCTTTTCTGGGGTCATCTGGGTTTCGCGGGGAAAGCTGGGGTCACCCTGGGCCAGAGCCACTGCTGGCAACTCCTTTCTGGTGGGCCGTCGGTCTCTGACTCTATCTTTACGTCGGGCCTGTCCCTCTACAGGAGGAATATTCAAAAACAGTCAAAGAATAGCCTGGGGACTGTGTTGTGAGTATTTTTGGGCACTTCTTGCATATCCTTGGGGTATTTCCTGTCGTCCAAACTCCCCCTGTAGGGGGACAGGCCCGACCTAACTCTGTCGCCCTCCCTCGTTCTCTCTGTCCCTCTTCCTCTGTGCATCTCTGCGGGAGCGGGGTCGGGGCTCGAGAGACGGGGGTCAATGCAAACGGGGGTCAGCCAGAGCGCCAGATCCTGCAGGATCCCGCGAAGACCCCCTCTGGCTGGCCCGGGTCAGCGAGCCGCTCGTGGCCGCGGGGCGGCCGCGCCTAACTATTGGCTGACCCGGGCTTGCGAGGTTCTGCGCTGCAGTTTTTGTTTCCTGCACTGCAGTTCTTGGTCTCCTGCTGACCCCGGGTCTGGATCGACCCGGGTCAGAAGATCCCCGGACGGTCGGGCGATCGAGGAGCTGCCGGTCGCTCCAGTCGGAGCGAGATCGGCGCGGTGTCGAAAGCCAGCCCCGAAGTCGTCGCGACGCGGACCTGCCGTATAGATGTCTTGGCATCGCTCGGACGTGTGCATTTTTCCTTCGGCGAGGACCATCGAGGAGCATCCTTGATCATTTGGCCCAATTTGGCGAAACAACCACGCACGAAACCGGAAAAAAACACAGGGAATGGACGTCCGAGCGTTGGCCAGATGTATGTGTGCGTGTATGGGCAACCTGCCGTAGGTGTATGTGTGCGCGTGTGGGCAACGATCGGGCGATCGAAAAGGTGCCGATCGTTCAAGTCGGAGGTTGATAGACCTCCCACCCCGACACGCCGATTCAGGCATGGGCCGTCTTCGGTCCGCGAGAGGGCGTCGCGGCCGTCGTTTCTGCGGGTCCAGGCCCGTCGGTTTCGGTCCCAGGCCGTTTTCACCAAGGGGAGGTTTACTAAGGGAGGTTTGTCCACCGCCGATCACGGTTGAGCGATCGATGTGGTGTCAAGAACCAACCCCGAAGTCGACCACGCGACACGAACCTGCCGTATAGATGTATGTGTGCGTGTGTGTGGGCAACCTCCCCAAGGGTAGCCTCGCATCCTGGTTTCCTCGGCCCATCCCAGGCCACCTTCGTTGGCCGCGCCCCGCTCGAGAAGCTTCGAAATGGGCGTCCGAGGCCCTTGCATGCTTACCGCGCGTCCTTACTATACGGGCTGACTGTATCCACACATGTACAGTTGTAGATGTGCGTGTGTGGGCGTGCTGTCAGGGCCCAGGGCTCCACGAGCGCTCTCTGGAGCGGGCCGTGGTTTGTTCCCGGGCCGCTGGTGGGCCCCTTCCACGGGGAGGGTCCCCCCTCCTCCGACGCGCCTGGCGCTGTCGACCCCCCGCCCCTGGTGGGGAGCTGCACCTTTCGCTGTGTTCCCAGGCTTGGTTTGGCGGCGAGCGAGGGGCGGGCAGATCCCCTTCTCGATCAATTCTGTACAATGGAGGCCCATGCCAAGAAACATCCTGCTTGCCTCCAGGGTGCCCTGGGTTTCTTGGGTTTCAATGGCTTGGCTATGGAAGGCGTGGCGCTCCGACCCCAAACATCAGTGGACGTCCTGGGGTCTCAGGGCTGGGCGTCTTGTGGAAGGTTCCTCGTGGACTGGCCTCCGCTGTGTATCGTGTGCTGGGAGGCCCGCAGGGGTGCGAGGCTGATGGTGCCCGGCGCGGCGCTGTCTGGGCTGGAGGGCCGCCCTTCTCCAGGGGAGGGGGAGGATGGGGGGGGGGGCGGAGGGCGGCGCGAGGGTGCGAGGCCAGGCGACATCGTGCAGCGCGTGGCTCGATGCGCGAAGGTGAGGATGCTCTCCTCGATCCCTTCTGCAGTCGATCCCCCCCCCATCGACGGAGGGCGGCCCAGAAGCTCAGTCCTGCCGTGCCCCGTGCCGTTCATCCACGCACCGCCGATGCACCGGCGAGACGACGCGATCTGGAGCCCGCTCTTCTTCTTCTTCTTGGCGTCGGCGCGATCCTCCGACCCCATCGGCTCTGGCCCCATTCGGGGGGCCCCCGCAGGGAGCGCGCCCCCTGGCACGCGTGGTGATCTTTGGGCGTCGACTGGCTTATCACTCCCTCTGGGTGCACTCGGAGAGTGGTGCCGCGCGCGCCCGCAGAGTGCCCCCCCATCTGCTTTCACTGAAGGGTGCTTTGCCCAGTGGGGTGTCTGTCACTCTGCGACGGAAGGTTGGAATCGTCGAGCTGGTGGTTAGTGTGAAGTCGGACTCGTCCCGCTGCAGGGAGAATAGTCGAAAATAGTCAAAACATGGTCTGGGGACAATCTTCGGGCTACTTTTGATCATGTTTGAATCTGTTTGGCATAATTTGTATTCTTCGTCCAAAATCCACCTGTAGGAGGACATGCCCGACCTACGATTCGTGCGATGGTTATTACAGCTGTCTGCATGCGCAGTTGCATAGTAACCCAAAAACATGTCGAAGCACCACGTCGTAATCGCAGACCACCGCTTGGGATCACGAGTTTGTCGTGAGGAATTTCGGGGATTGTCTTAGGTCGGGCATGTCCCTCTCTCTAAAGGAGGAATATTCAAACATAGTAAAACATTGTCTGGGAAACCATTTTTGTTTCTTTCCAACCATCCTGTGGCGTTGGGCCCTCGTTTTGAAGAGACAGCGCCCCGCGTCTCACCTTCTCCCGCTGCCCCCTCCCCCCTCCTCC